GGGGGGCACGGATCCGCGCCGGCGCGTCTGGGAGTTGTAGTTCTGGGGGGGAACTCCGCGGCCTGCGGTGGCGGCACTGCGCGTGCGCGGGTGGCGTGGGCCGGGTGGCCTTGCGGGGGCGCGTGGCTCGCCGTGGCGTTATGGTGTCTCTACCTGACTGAAATGTGCTGCATTTCTGCCGTCTGTGGGGATTTCTCATCCCTCCCGCTGCCTCTCAGGGCTGGCATATTGAGCATCTGGTTTGGGATGCCCAGTAGTGAACAGAAAAATTGTGTATCTCAATATACTTCAACATGCTACCCTGTGTTTTAACGTTTTCTCAGTGTCAGGTCTCTGGAAATACTGGAACGTGCTTCTCAGAACCTTTAAAATAATCGACTGCTACTTTTCTGAAGTTACAGCTTTTGGTTTTGGTCTACAAATAATGCCACTGTCATTTCTCCAGAGACAGATTCCTCAGATAGTGAATGTTCCCCTGGCAGAACATCACCTCAGGATATAGATTACTGGAGGACTTCTTAGTTGGCAGAGGAACACTTAGTGAACTGATCTGCATGACAGTGAGGTTTAGGTCTCTGGGTAAAATAAACGCAGCCTGCGATGGAAACCCTTCTCATAAGCAACGGCAAAAAAACAGATATGCCATTTTTCTTGGAAAATAAACTAAATGAAACACCAGAGTTATGATGCAGCTACAATAAATGCTTAGTTCAAATTGTGGCTGAATATCTAAATTATTTTTTAGATTATCTAAGTATTTTTTACTTTCTTCATCCCCCTCATGTGTCTTCCCAAACCCAGCGGTGCTTAGTATTCTTACAACATATTCAATATGCAACACAGTGTTTGCTAATGTAGTTACAAAGTATGCAGGGAAAAAAACCCTACAAATGAGTAAAACAGCTTTTTTCCTAACCTTTCCCTTGAAAAATTGGACATTTTGTATTACCAAAAAAAACAAAAACAAAAACAAAAAAAAAAACCCAAGGCTTACTTACAAAACTGTAAAGTTCTTTTTCAAATCAGTTTTCTCAATAAACACAGAAAAGGGAAAGGGGAGGGTAGTTAATTTTCTAGATAAAGTCCATAATAATAGCTGTTATTTTCCTTTGTTACACTACCTCTTTTCTCCAGTTCATATGAAGCAGCTTGAGAACATTGTATAAGGGGTTGAAGTCTTCCCGCAGTAGGGAAGTGATACATAGTTCCAGATGACCAAGAAAAAATAAAGATTAACATGGGGTACAGAAATCGTAGCATGGTTCAATGTTTTGGAGGCTAACAATCCCCAGTCTGGAGCAGGTAACTTGAGAGAAGCATAAAATTTTGTTGCAAAAAGGAGAGCCTGCAAAACTGATACAATGAGGAGAGCCTGCAAAACTGATACAATGAAACAAATGCCCCTTCCAGGTTATTAGGGATTTTTAGCTCTTCAGTCTGTCGGGAAAAAGCTGCACCTGTCCCAGAACTCTTCACTAGCCCAAACATCTTAACACAAAAACAAAACAACCTTGAACAGTCTTGAAGAAAATCAACTGGTTCTCAAAACAAAAGTTTTGCATGGATTAGGTCCTTCTTAGCATAGATTTTTTTTTCCCTAGGACTTCCGGCTAAATCACTGCTTATCTTGGAAATTGGATATGCTGGCTATTCGGCTGTTGAGAATGAGAGTGGTTTCTCTATACGCAGACATTTTGCCAAAAGTGTCTGTATAGCTCTTCAGAAGGAAAGATTACAAAAATTTGGCAGGAATATGTAGGAATATAGGGTAATTTCTAGATATGTGGTAAGGAAACATCTGCATTCCACATGCTTTTCCACTCATAAAAACATTGGGCATCCTTGTCAAGAACCCTAGGCAAAATATAATAGCGCAACAACTCAGCAACTATTAGCAAACTTGGTCAACACTTTGTAAGATCAATTTGCTGTTGCCCGTAAATTTTGCCAAAATTAAACATTTGCACTGAAACCATGTGTTTCCCATATATAAAATACACACAACACCTCTTCAATCTAGCAGGGAAATGGCGCTGATAGATGTATTAATCTTTGTGAAGCAGATACTGTAAACCTCACGGCAAGAGGAAGAGGAAATTACTTTTTCTAGGCTGAGACTGAAATGGTATATCAAAACAAGCTTGGGACTATGTAATAAACAGAATAAATTGAACTGTGGAATATAGTAAACAGTAAATGAGGCCAGCATTATGGTTTAAAAAAAAGTAACTTTAAAAAGTAACTTTTTTTTAAAAGACTGTGTCATAACGGATAGGTTAATTAGGTAGCTTACCCTAAATGCAAGCAAGTCCTAACTTGTGAGTACTTGACTTTGGAAACGTTGACATTTCTTTACTGGGATGAGAGGGTGCAAAATGCCTATACATAATACAGAACTTGGGGGTTGATTGTGGAATTCTTCAGAAAACGCTGTCATTTATTGTTGGCCAGCTTTCTCAGATCTTAATCAAGAAGCAAGGAGACAGCCTGGCTTGAATTGGTACAGCGGTGAAGAAAAATGTGCATTAACCAGTCTTAAAATCAGTTAATCGAAATTGAACTCAAGGCTGGCCAAAACAGGGCGGATCAGGGCAGCTGGCTCTTGTGGTCACTGACACGCTTTGCCCTTTGCCAAAAGAATTCAACATTTCCTTTCCGCATCGTCAACGCTGCAGGACGTGAACGTGCTGGGACATGGCCTAGGACCCACGAAACGCTCTCCCGGCTTCACCAGCAGCACAGACCTCGGGCACAGCTGACCCAGAGCCCCAAAAATGAAAATCACGGTGGGAATTCTTTCCTGAAGAACCGCAACAAAAACCTGGAAGAAAAAAAACCCACTCAAAACAAACACTGTCTAACGATGCAACGTAAGCTTCCGAAGGAAACACCCTCCTGTGGCACGGCCGGTACTTAATTAGCAGGTTGGTTCCCCTTTTCCCTGACCGGGGCCTCCGCATGGCGTCAGCGAGAACGACGGGGGCCGCCCAACGGCCGCTCTGGGCGGGGCCCAACGGCC